ATAAGGAGATCCAATGTATGTGTATTAGTTTATGTAGAAACAGACAAATTTATTTGATTTTATTTGCATATTTTGGCCATGACCATTTTGATATGATTCAAAACTTGTTCTAACATTGAACAGGTGCGTGACATTTTTTGTTTAAATGAATAAATAACCAACAAATATATTCACGAAGAATGTGAAAATTAACCAATACCAACTCCTAATTGCATGTGTATCTACTAATTAGTTGTTGCAGTAAAATTGCTTATTGGCGATATTTTAACAGCACTTTTACTCGTTGCAGCCGATTGGAATGCGTTATTTGAATGGCCTAGCGGTTCTATAATTTTCCTTTCAGTAAGCACATATTTTAAGTGACATTGACTTTTACTAGCGGAGCATAACACCAATGAAGTTCCAAGGGATTGCGTACAATGAATCAGAACCGTTAAAACTTTATTAAATCTGGGAAAATGTAATATTGAAGGAATTTAATCAGGAGTTCAAAGCAAACGATCTGTTGTGTTTGTTGTTGATAATTTGAGTCCAGTGGACGGAGGCGCAAAACATCGTGATTGTTGTCATTTTTCCATAAACCCTAAATTTTTTTCAAATCGGTTATTAACAATTTACTTCGTAAAAAATTATTTATCAGTTTTTCTTCAATATCTCGCTTGCACGGACTGCGAAGAAAATGCAAAAGATCATTTTTATTCAAAATGAAATTTTGTACAAGATAGCATAGCACAATTTTTATTTATTACAAAAGTAATTGTGCAAATAACAAATAGTGGCAAAAATCGTTGTTATTCTTAAAATTTTTGTCAGTTCTCTAAAAATTATTGAAACCTCTTGAAACTTTTCGAAAATATTCCTCAATTCATGTATAATAAGTTTGCGAAACCCGCCTATTGGACAGGTGAGTCATTGCCGAGTTATTGACGATTATACCGTCATTTTAAAGTTTCCTGTAAGGATTACGTATTTACGTATGATTGTCAATAACTCAGCGACTGATCCGTCCAATAGCGCATTTCTTTAATTGTATGACGTTTAATTAATATTTCGAAAATTGACAAGAATTTTAAGGAAAACATCGATTTTTATAATGAATCCTTTAATTCAGGGTTCGTAGCGGCCGGGAAAACCGGGAATACCGGGAAAAGTCAGGGAATTCGTTATTCTTCATAAAAAACAGGGAATAGTCAGGGAATTTTAAAAATATTCATGAAAGTCAGGGAATTTGATGTTTGCAACTGGAAATTTTGTGAAAGCCGGCCCTGGGTTCTTGAAAGAAAAAACTATTTGTGGTTTTGAAACCTTTATAAGAGTTTCTTAGGGTATAAAAAAGATTATGGAGTCCAGTCGAGAAAAAATTTAATGCATAAACACCAATTAGTATGTAAAAATGAACTACAAGTGACCTGGATTTTATTTTTATATGTCAGGGAAAACCTGGAAAAGTCAGGGAATTCTTCATTACTTTTGAACTATGAACCCTGTAATTCCATAATTATTTTTGCAATAAAAAAATTATATTCGGGATAAAAGTGATCTTTTGCAGAGTACTATCCAACCGAGATAATGAAGAAAAACAAATAAAAAAGTATTCTTTGCGACGTAAATTGTTACTATTTTTTATTTCTTCTGTGGCTCTTGTACATTTTAATGTGTTGTTCTATATTTGTTGCCTATTTTTAAACAAAATTTGGGGTTTGAGGAAATTTACTACCTCCTGACTCCTGACCCCCTGGCTATTGGACTATTTATAAAGTCGATATTGGTGATTTGTTAAGTGAATCTTAACAATGTTTACGTAACACTATCTCTGACCCTCTTAATAAATGTCATGTTTTAGTTGTTTTCTTCGCTGTAAGATAGTGGTTCTTTTCTCTGAGAAAATTGCTTAATATTTTTCAATACGATCGTCCTCATTAACCGCAGGATAAACCCAGAAGTCAATGACTGCGTAAAATTATTCTGTTAATAACACTTGTATAATTTTCGAATGATACATTCAATGTATCTACTTCAGGTTTTGTGGTTAATTCTAGGAAAATTCGTTGAATCAAACTGAGAACTGAATTTTAAGATGGGCTCTCCACGTGCTTGCAGCTCACCGTCCGCTTGCATAGTTACATAACTTGAGAAGCTGTTGTCGGTACGGGTAAACCGGTCGTAACGGTATTCGTTAAAGTTGATTTACATTTTATCTTTGGTTGTTCGATCAGAACCGCACTGTGATGGATTTGGAACAACGCCTTTGTTTAATATAAAATTTATAACAATCTGCGGCGCCGATAAATTATGTTTCTCGAGAAATTAGGAGATATTGAGTTTCCTTTATTTTGAATATAATTTTTTTCAGTGATTAATTTTTTTTTATTTATAGTAGTCGTTATGTTGATCTTAATTTGTACATCTGTAATTTGTACTTCTGTTTTGTTGCCATAATCATTATAAAAATGATTTATATACATGTATATATTTTTTATTCTTTGTCTGTATGGACTTCTCTCTTATAACATCCGTGTTCAACGAGCTCTATATTTTATTGATTATAATACATAAAATTAATAGCAATTACTACAGTAAAAAACCAGTCTCGGCAATTAAAGCTTCACGCTATGTGGATTTTCCATATTTAGTTTCATGTGGGACTGATATACATATGGACATACGTACACGATATGCTGATATGTATATAGACGCATATTTAAATAATATATATATTAACATTTGTTCCCACTGCATACTGTTTTGGTATTTTTTCCAAATAAAATATACGTGATTTTCTGTAAAATAATAATATTAATAAACTATATAAAATTGAAATATGTGTGTTTTGAAAACTAGTGTCGGTGCTTTAAACTATTTAAGTTTTATAGATTTGAAACGTTCCTGGAAATATTTTGATTCAATGATTGGAAGTTAACGATCAGTGTTTAAATCACTGTTATTGTTTACTTAAGCAACATTAACAAATGTTGACTTAGTTTTAATTCACGCGAATGAATATTTGAGAGAAAACCTAATATTGGTCAAGGTCTGGAAATTATAAAATATTCAAGAAAATGTGTACTTATTGTAAAGTAAACTATTAACAAGCCTTCGCATTCTCCTTAATAATATTTATAGTTCCCCGGACTTATTTTTAGACGTACTGCGCATCTCACAATAATAATAATTAGTTTTTCCACGTACGCTTAGCCGTGTTAACACGTGTTGATTGTGTTTATAAAATTGAAGATGATTCGTCATTTTCAAGGAGTTCATTGTTGGTGTTTATTGCAGATATAATTTTTTATACTGTGAAATAGTTAATATTACGTGATCTACAGATTGTTTATTTGTATACAGGGTGATTCAGTTGATGCTCACCATGGGAATCTAGGGAACGGTGAGCGGTATAAATTTGGTTAAATTACAGAAAAGTTGCGTGCCAGTAAACGTTCTTGGATGATGCCTTTACTGGAAAAAATAGTTTTCGTACCCAACGCTTGTTCCTTGCTGGGCATCCTTAAATAAATCACCATATATACGTTTTTTTTTTTTAATAGAAAACTTGTTGAGAACTGCTGACTTCACTGTGGCATTTACGCATAACGTAGATCAGCTGTTAGAGATGTTTTAAAATCTTATGAGCTTTGACCTTCATATGCGCAGAAACATAATTCCGACCGTCGCCTAAATTATTCTACGTCCTAAAAACATTACACCTATTATTCACAGTCTCTCTCGAGCTCTAGCGTAAACAAGCCTTTGATCCGATTACAAATATCATAATAAAATGCCCTATTCTTTATTATTTTAATTTAAACAATAAAAATATATATAACTAACGTTCGCCAGTTGACTTTATTGATGCCCGAGCGCCTTAGTTCATTTCTACTTGTAATGATGCACATGGTCTAGTTCTGAGTCAATGTTTTCACAACGTGCTTATTAGAAGAATTATGGGGATACGCCACGCCTTTCGCGCATTTCGCGGCTCACGAATTAGAACAAAAAGTTTAAATAAGCATCTTTTTAGGTGATATACCAGAGACTATGAAATATCCTCATAAAAATGTTTATTGCTTCCTGGCATCTTACAAAATCTGTACACTAAAACTAAATGTGTACAATTGTTGCCATGTTGCTAGCTAGATGGTCTACTCCTTTGTTTTTATATTCATTGAAATATTCCATTGACCTTGAATGGGAGAAAAAAAATATCTTAAATTTGCAATGTTGAAAAATGACTTTCTCCGGACTGTTTATTAAATTTTGCTGAAAAAACGCCGAAAGAATTCATTATGCCTCTATTTAACGTTAAAAGCGCAACAAACAAACAAAAATGGGACATTTAAATAAATATTTAAAGCGAAACATTATTTTATAATACAAAAAATATACAGAATGTAACAAAACAGCAGGTCTTGCCATTAGCGGCATATTTTCGTCTACACAAAATAAAACGCTTCCCTTAAAGGTACAATGTTATAGATACAGTTGAACTTGTTGAACTTTTAAAATTGTTTTTTCGCAATAATTTTGTCAATTTTTCACGTATTTGTTTGAAATTCAGTAAATACACTTCTTGATTAATCAAATTTTTAAAGTATTATTTTAAACAACGCCTAAACAGCAAACGTAGCAACTGAAGAGAAGGGGTTACTTTGTGTCCCCCATTTTTTCTGCCGCGCGCCCATGGAGGATTTCTCCCAATACTGTTTAACTAATTTGTTTCTTAAATACCTATTTTAATTTTTTTTAGCAAACGAAATTATATAGGTAAAAAAAAAATTGGTTTTTGTAACAATCGTTAATTTCATATTTTGCCGCCACTAAAGGAATGACTTGCTTTTTTGTTACACCCTGTATATTCGTAACCAATTCTGTTGAATAAGTTTCTCTTAAATTCGAGTAGTACTGTGTTCTTCGAACTTGCGCGAATTTTTTTTTTTTTTGTTAAATCACACTTGACACTGACATTTGATGACTGGGCAATAAAAATAAGTTTTCTTTTCCAGGGTCGCGTGGTTAATCAAGGGGTCAATCGTGGATCGATCAAGTTATGGCCCCGTCCCATTCTCGTCAATTGTTAGTGTGGTCCTTGCCAACCATTGCCGTTCTCTTCAGCTACTTGTGGTACAAAAAGAAGAGAATTGGAGCTCGAAGTGACACCGGCGACACAGAAAACCAACAAGGAATAGGAAACACTCGGAATAGTGAGGAGCCCTCGGTAAAGGAGGAGGAGAAGAAGAAGAAGAAGACGGAAACCAAGCCAGTGTCGGCGCCGTCGTCGCCGAACCGCAGCTTCTCGAGGTCGCTGTCGGGAGTGGAGAGTGCCCCCATAGACATCGTCATTCCGCCGTCGCTGCGTTCAACGCGGTCGAATCCCGTCGTCATATCCGACGAAGACCTGGACCTGGAGATCGAGAAGATTAAATCCATGAAAAACGGCGCGTTGTCCAGATCGAAACCCGATAACAGTCCCACGCAACAGCAACAGTCGAAAACGCCGTCCCCGTTGAAGGAAAGCGCGTCTCCAAGGATTAGGACCCCATCGCCTCTTAGGGGAAATACTACTACGGTGAAATCCAAGAAATCAACCAAGGCTGGTTCGGAACAACAACCCGCAGAAATGGCACAGAAAGACATAGCCGTCGTGGAAGACAAGTTGACTTCCTTGAAGATAAACAATAACAACAAAAAGACCCCGAAGAAGAGGGAACACAGGAATAGCACTGGAAAGAAGGAACATGAGGAATTGCAGAGACAAAGTAGTGAAAGGGATTCAGCCAATCACAGTCCTGCAGATGTAATGTTAGCCAGTCCGTCTCTCAGCAGCATCTCAGATAATCACAGTGAGGTAAGTGATTGATCTCTTTGGGTATGATTTCGATTTCGAGGCAAGAAAACTGATGGGAAAAAAGTCGTTTGACTTAACCTTTTCAAAAATCATTTATTCATAAGGTATTTCAAAACTAGAAATCTCGCTAATTACAATAATTTATACTCCCGTAATAGAACTGTGAGGTTTAAAAGGCAATCTAAACGTCAAACCTAGATTACTACAATCATGATGCAAGTGAGACTTTCCTCATATTAGACATTTAATAGAATTGCAAACACTTCTAAAATTTTATTTGAAGTCGAGAGTTCATTGTGGAATAATCCAAACTAAGTATTTTAAAGTTATACTGGCAATGTCATTTTTACATTCATATAATTTATGTGAAATTAATTTAAAAAAAATTTAGTCATCCAACATATTTTTTTTATTATGAAGGTTGTGGTAATCTTAATCTTTTCAAAAAATTTAAATTTGGCTTTTAAATCGTATTTTTTTATATTTTAAAATCTTATTTAGTGTTAAACCGTCGAAATTTTTGGCATATATTTTTATGGACTCCTTAAATAATTCAAACTATTCAAAGCTTCATTGCTGACGATACAAATTAGAAAAAAAAATAACTTTTTTCAGGTATGTATGTACAATGCACATACAGCTTGTTTTGGAAAAAATTGCCATAAATTTAGCAACTGATACCAAATCTTTTTATCTCCAAAGACAAGAGGGCCCACGAAAAATTGTCTTAAAGGTGTTCCCCGCCAAAAAGTGTAGCACCATCAGATTCCACGTGTGAGGGGTATAGATGCAAAACTCGCATTATCCACTTTTTAAAATTTTTCAGGAATAACTGATTTCTCACTTTGTAAGTGACTTAAAGCTCTGCAATTTTTTTGGTATTTATCAAAGCTTTAACTTTGCTTCATAATTGGTGAAATTACAGCACAAATATTTGACTCCAAGAAAGTGAATTAAAGTTTGGACAATGTGAGTTTTGATACAACTTTTTGGATAATGGTAGTTTTGCTCCAAATTATTCTACATATTATTTTTTACATCAAAATTCATGAAGTTAATTTAACTTCCTTTAATAAAGGAACTTTGAAACAAACTCGATATCAATAAGACTTATGTAATAAGGTAGTTCATAATCAAAATAAAAAGCTGCGCAAAATATTTAGAATACGGTTTTATTATCAGTGATAGTGAAATATTTTTATAATGAATCTAAAATTGCAAAGTACAAAAAATGTTGACAGTAAAAAGTTCTAATATCGGATGTTTAAATATGAAACTTAAGAACTAAACTTATCTCTTATAATCAGAAACTCATAGAAAAACACGGAACCAACCATCTAGGAAAGCAAAACAATACGAGAAGCAAAACTCATAAGCTTTTTTATTGGTGGATATGGATAATGTGAGCTTTGAGACCTTCAGATCGTAGGAGAATGTGACTTGAAACAATTCACAGATTTCACAATATAAAAATAAATACGAAAATGTGAGTTTGTACAACTTCTAAATTTAAAAATGGTGTAGTTCAATACGATGACCAAGATTGCGTCACTAATTCTATTTCGAAAAATTATTTATAATGTGAGTTTTGCATATGTACCCCTCATGTCACAAAACCCCTGTGTACCAAATTTAGTGATTCTCGTACAACAGGGTTCTGAGATATAAAAAAAAGATTATTCTTAAGGGAGGATTTCAGGGGACTGTAACTCCGAAAGAGGGGGCCACTTGGCAAAAAGAAAAAATACGGGTCTCCTAAATTTGTCTTAAGAATCTATGACCAAATTTTGTTGCATTAATTTCGGGACACCCTGTATTTCTTCATTTCCGACTTAAAATTTTCTTTAAATTTAAATTTTAATCAAACGATTTAAATAATGTCAACCCTATTTGTTGTGTTGAAAAGGTCGGTGCCGATATGGTAAAATATATAATTATGTAAGTGCATTTTTCGAACATTGTATTCGTTTGACAAAAATTCCGTCACATATTAAATTGCATTAAAATTCTGAATGATAAAACCACGAGCACATATTTCAAATAAATGTTGCAATTTTACATAATCAAGTTAACCGTTCGGGTAGATAACATTTATTGTTTAAAATTTTTATTGCTACATTTTAATTTCATGTTCGTGCAGGGTTCCAGCGATAGTGGCAAAGGCGGCAGCGACGTGGCTACACCACCGCCATCCCGTACGCCGGGCATAGATGTCCCGGCACCCTGCGACGTCACCCTGCCCACCCTCTACGAGTTCATTATCCCCCAGTCCCTGGTGGGAAAGTTGATTGGCCGTCATGGCAGTTTCGTGACGCAGATAAAGGAGAAAACCAACGCCCATATTGTGGTGAAGAAGCACCCCACGAATAACAAGCTGAAGGTGTGCTCGATCGAGGGGACTCAGGACGAGATCGACAAGTCGCTGAAGATGATCAGGGATAAGTTTCCCGCCAAGAGGTATCCGGAGGTTACTTTGGAACAGGTCCATTTCACGCCCATCGTATCCACCGTGCCGCTTATTCCAGATCATTTGTATGTAAGTAACGTTAAGATTGCTGTTTCTCTATTCAAGGTCACCAAATCCATCTTAAAAAGATCAATGACGATTGTTATAATAGTTACGTGAATTTTTTTCTATTTACTCCCTTCTAGCTAAAACTCATAGAAGGCATCAACAACGACACGATCCTCAGCTGTTTGGTGGCCCCCAACCACCTGTTCCTCCAGCAGCCGACGCACCCCTCGTTCCCCAGCCTCAACTTGCTCAGTGGATGCATGAACGTGTGCTATACCGAGGCCAATTCCCCTCTTTTACCAAACCCGATACCGGAGAACACGGTGTGCGCAGCTTACTCGGTAGACGCATGGTACAGAGCCATGGTGTTGTCGACGGACGTCGAGACGGACACCTCGTACGTCAAATTCCTAGATTACGGCGGCTTCGCCTATGTAGAGAATTCGAAACTTAGACAAATTAGGGGAGACTTCATGCTGTTGCCCTTCCAGGCGGCAGAGTGCGTTTTGGACAACGTCAAATCATTAAATGGTGAGGACAATTTTCGCGACGGGTTTTGGCGGTAAATTAATGCGATTGTTTTCTTTCAGAGGATGGAACGTGGCCCGAAGAGGCTTATAGTTTAGTAGCAGACATAACGAAGGGTGCACTGATATACACCCAAGTAGCAGATTACACGGATGCTGGCGTCCCCCTAGTATTATGTTATGTAGTTGTAGGGCCCCAGGTAAGTTCCCTTGTAAATTTGTGCGGCAAAATTAAAAACTTGCTGGCGAGGTCATAAACATGCAGGTATTTGGACAAGGCACAGATATAATTTTTCTTAATAATTTGGATTCACCCCGTTAATCAATATCTTTGGATTAGTATCATTTTGTAGATATTGTATTATTTTACAGACGCAATTACTTCACAGATTCATTACTTCACATCCGCATTTACTTCACGTACATTGTAATTGCTCTGGTTTTGAAAATTATACTTTTCAAGTACATGAAGTGACAAGACATATAGAAAGTGAAATTTCTCGTCCACAAATGAGTTCTTAGAACTGCATTTTGTGGTGAGAGGTCATAGAAGTACAGATTATTGGCCAAAATACATGTATAATATATTTGTATTGTCCGTAATAATTTGGTTTCACCTCGTTAAATAATATCTTTAGTGTAGTATTTATTATTTGTTAGATGCAATTACTTCGTGACACTTCACATCCACTTTTACTTCACATCCGTTTTTATTTCACAGACATTGTAATGGCCAGTAGTTACCCCTGTTTTGAAAATCATACCTTTCAAGTATATGACTTGACCACTTCACAGACTCTATTACTTCACATTTGCATTTACTTCACGTACATTGCAATAGCCAATCCCACCTTTCAAGTGACAGGGCATATAAAAAGTGAAATTTCTCGTCCAGAAATGAGTTTTTAGAACTACATTTTGTGATCAGAGGTCATAGAAGTGCAGATTTTTGTCCAAGATATTTGTATAATATTGTATCCACCATAATAATTTTACTTCACTTAGTTAATCAATATCTTCGGTTTATTATCATTTTTTTAGATGCAATTACTACATGACACTTCACATCCACTTTTACTTCACAACCGCTTGTATTTCACGGACATTGTATTAACCAATATTTGCTCCTGTTTTGAAAATCATACCTTCCAAGTATATGACATGACTACTTCACAGACTATATTACTTCACATACATTGTAATAACCAATAGTCGCTCCTGTTTTGAAAATCATACCTTTTAAGTACGTGATGTGACATGGCATATAAAAAGTGAAATTTCTCGTTCACAAATGAGTTCTTAGCTCTGCATTTTGTGGTGAGAGATCGTAGAAGTGCAGATTTATGTCGAAGATACATTGTATAATATTTGCATCCACAGTAGTAATTTGGATTCACATCGGTAATCAATATCTTTGGTTTATCATTTTTTATATGCAATTACTTCATGAGACTTCAGCACTTCACATCCACTTTTACTTCACGTCCGCTTCACGGATTTCATAGCAGCCAAAAGCGTAAATAACATAACACTATTGTTATTTAAAAAAAATTTGTATCCTGTATTTACGAGTGGATTTATAGTAGCAAATATACTAATTTGTCTTCTTCCTTGCAGTCGGTAGTATTCTTAAATCAGCATTTGGTCGACAATGGGTTCGCCGAGTGGGTGCCCACAGACGAGGCGTCGCAGCAGGACAGCTCCGAGGGCGCCGTGGGCGGTGTAAATGCGTAACTAATGGAACGATTGCGTTTTTTTTAGTCACTTGATTGCTGCAATCAAGCCCCCTCCCCCTGTTAATATTTATGAATTAGCACACGCACACAGATGTTTATTTAAATAGCCCTTAAGTGATTGTTTTAGTGATTTTTTTTTAGAGTTTTAATTTCCTTAACGTTTAGCCAAGCCACCTTTTATATCATATTTACTGTATTCGTAAGATTAGTTCTTGACTGACGATGTAACGGTAGGGAAGACGTCTTGACGGGCGTTTCTTTTTTCGATACATAGCGTAAATTGTAGGGGTTGTTTCACGGTCGTTCTCATTGCACTCGACGGTCACAGTTTTCGTCGACGATGGGTTGAATCGCTGTCTGATCGTTAGATGTTTTTCGGTGGAGCGGTGTTCGATTCCGTTCGGTCGCGAAGAAGATGGGTGGTTTGCGGAATATTAAAAAATTTTCGGTTCTTAATCGAATAATGTACGAGTCGAGGGGAAAAGACGAAAAAGGTTGTACAAAGAGGTTTTTTGGTGAGTATTGGGTTTACAGAAAAATTAACGAAAACAAATTCAAGGAAATATATACAGGGTGTTCAAAAAATGGATTACAGTTCCTGGACATCTTTTCACACACAAATAGTTCACGTCAACATGGATCTGTTCTTGCTCCGTTTATATGAAATTTGGCACCGCGTTCTCACGAAGTTTGTGTCGGGCGTAGTAAATTGATTGCTTTCAAATATATGCGTCTGGAGCATCCTGGTTGTTTGAGAAAATTTAAAGAAAACTAAAAACAACATATGGGCGTTAAAAATTGTGTGTTTTTTTTTTCTCGAAAATATCTTAAATGGCTTTACTCGAGTTTTATGGTAAAAGGGCATAGAAATTTCTTAGAAATTTAAACAGGTGTGTGGAATTGGAATAATTTTATTAAAAAAGAAAAATATGTACACTACTTTTTTTTGTTTTTTTTTTTTTTTGATAAATTAGAGATAAAAATTTTTCTCAATAGTTGAAAAAAAGGCTCTAGAAATTACTTATTTAAGATTACCCGTACACAAAGACGGAAACTATTGAACACCACACAATTTTTAGTCAAAGTGAATTATCGAAGTTGTTTTAGAAAAAACGAAAATTTTTAAAAAAACGTACATTTCTGAATCGGAATAAGAATGGAGCAATGTTGATAAAACCTCGGTCTTATTTTTGGGTGAGGAATTTGCCCCCGAGCGATGACACATGGTTTTCGAAACACCCTGTATATGTATTTTGGATGATTTTAATTTTACCAGCAAAAACGTGAAATAATAAAATTTGTACATCACATGAAAAAGCATTTTGATCCACTTTTTACTTGTACGTCGTAATTAAGGCAGAATATTTATTATCGTTACCCTAGAAGTAAAATCTGCAATATCCGTCGTTAAACGAAAGAATATTGCGGTTTACGTTCTCGATTCTAAGCAAAAAAGTGTTTTCAACACGTTTGACATTTTAAGGAACCTTTAAAACTATTTCCCTACATATGCAACGAATTGTGATGTGCTATGACGAACGGAATCTGAACACTAAAAGTTTTAAATTTCTTTTTAAATCTATTGTAATTCGTGAAAGATTAGACATTATTTGAATGAGATCGTTTGAGAGGGGTCTATGGCAAATAGGCAACCAGCAATACATTTTTATAGATTTTATTATACAGTAAATATGAATAATTAATGCACAAATAACAGACTTTCCATCATTCTAACGCAAATTTTCTATAAATTAGAGTCGGTTTGAAACTCAAATTGCTCTTTGTTGTAAAGAAATTTGTATTTTTCTTGTTCAAAAGCAGCAAATTACAAATTTCTTTACAATAAAAGGTAATCCGAGTTTCAAACTAACTCAGTTTTATAGAAAATCTGTGTTAGAATGGAGGAAAGTATGTTATTTGTGCATTTATTCACATTTAGACAAACTGTGTAATAAAATCTATAAAAATGTGTTGGTGGTTGGCTATTCCCTATAGAGCCCTCTTAACCCTTAAAACAGTAACTAGTTCTGTGTTTGATCGTATTTGGTAAAAAAAGAGATTCAGCTGAGTCCAGTATATCTTAATATAAATAAGCATAAGCTTTTATTTATAATTAACTATTTATTATTATTAGCTTACACGCCAGGGTGACAATAAACGGTAAATTACCGGTTAAGTTTTTGGGAGATTTTTCTTGTAGAATAATTTTCTGTTTGATCAAAACGGCTTATCTTGCTTTTTTATTGGATTTTTTTTGTAAATTTTCCGAAGCCTATCGTGTTATCCGCATGTAAATATCGATTGTTTCCATAATTCGAGTGTCTATTATTTTGTTGTATATTTATGGGGTTAGTTTAGGAACACTTGTAAAATTAGTGGGATTCTTTTTTAACGAGTAAATTAGAAGTATTGTGTAGTATGATTTTCGTATGACTGAAACTATCGTTGTTAAAAAATTCCCCACTAATTTGCAATATTCGATTATTAGTTTTTACAAGTAAACGTGTTTTCATATCTTCATTTACGATGTTGTGTGTTTATTAGTGTACGTAGTTTTGTTTTAGTATCCTCATATATAGTTAGCTTTTTGTACATAGGACTTCCTTGTAATATAATAACGTTTTTGGATTTGACTTAATATACATTCTCGGTACAATATTTGCTTGTTTTTTCAATACCCTCCCCTCCCGTTTAAAAGAAATATGCAAAATGGACATAAATGTTCAAATATAATTTTTTTTAATTGTACTGAAGATTTAAAAAAAATGATATACGGAATGTGCTGATGAAAAAATATAATTTCCGGTATTGTGCGGACAGCGTCTGAAAATGGAAATTATTATTTTTGAAGACGTCTGTTGTACCAATTTCACAAAACGGTTTTTGGTGCAGAACATTTCGAAAAACGAATGGTCGAGTTAAGAGGGTTCTATAGCAAATAGGCAACCAGTAATACATTTTTATAGATTTTACACAGTTTGTCTAAATAAATAGGAATTAATGCACAAATAACAGACTTTCTTCCACTCTAACACAGATTTTCTATAAAATGGAGTTAGTTTGAAACTTTAATTATTTTTTGTCATAAAGAAATTTGTAATTTGCCGCTTTTGAACAAGAAAATTACAAATTTCTTTCCAACAAAGAGTATTTTGAGTTTCAAACTAATTAGATTTTATAGAAAATCTGCGATAGAATGGAGGAAAGTCTGTTATTTGTGCATTAATTCATATTTAGACAAACTGTGTAATAAAATCTATAAAAATGTATTGTTGGTTGCCTATTTGCTATAGAGCCCTCTTAATGTAGAAAAACATTGTTGCTATCGATACTTTACCTGCAGCATTTTGCCGGACGCATTGTTAAAATTTTTTGATGTGCTGCCGAATGCAATAGTGAAAATAAAAATACCAATGTTTTGCGTGCGCCAGTAAAAATTTTTGAATTTCAATTCGAAATGAGACCTTTTGAAGTCAAAAAAATTTATTTTTAACAGAAATATGCCCAAAAAACGAGTAAAAAAATCCAAAAAAAAGGTTTTTTTTTTCTTTTTGGTTTTTGGCCAACTTTTTTCTGAGAGGAGTTAGGTATAGGCATTGCTTCACAGAAAAAAAAGTTGATGTTTTTTCCTTTAAAATAAGCCTTTATAGAAGTACCTACTACTAATAGAAACCGAGATACATTGGATCAAAGTTGGCTACTGTTTGGATTTCTGGCCAATTTTTGCCCTTTTTTGACGATTTTTGTCTTATAACTTTTTTCTGAATTAATTTAGGTATATGTAATGCCATATTCAAATGAAAGCTGGTTTCAAGACCTTTAAAATTTGACATTTTGACAGTTTGATTGGCATATCTCGGTTGATTTTAATTGTACAAACTTCTACAAGGCACCATTTTATGCCTGGTAGTGAGATTTTCATGAGATTTCATGAAAAACTAATGAATTTTGGTATAGGAACAGGTAAAGCAAAGTTGTAGAGAATTTAATTCTGCATCTCATGGTATGAAAATATACAGGGGGTTGCATTTAAAAAATTCGAGAGATTTTTCAATTGGCAATTTTGACATGATATTTTGGTCACCCTGTATAACGCAGGCCAGTTTTTGGAGCATGATTCGGAAGAGTCATCCTTACTAAACATCTGATAAAAAAAAGGGCCTAATAGCTAGTAGTATAACCTGTCAGTATCAGAAAACGTAAACAGCCAATACCGACTAGAAAAACCTTTCAAGCGAGATATCTCAAAAACTGTGAATATTTGAATAGAACTATTCTACACAAAGTACCCTTTATTTTTTATGTAGAATCCGAAAAAATATAAAAAATGTGTTTCCATTTAAAAAACCAGTTGGTGTCTGGCCAGGAAAAGTGGAACACGCTGTATAGTTGAATATATTTTTAATTTGTGCATTCCGAGAAATGTGGCAACACAGTAAAAAGAAAAATCCATATATTCCTCATTTTAACATAGATATTGGACTTTTCTGCACTAGTGCGACACGCTGTATACTCAGTTTTATTTATGAAAAAATCAAACCAAAAGTTCTAAGAAATGTTATAAGTGTAGATAAAAAGTTATTTTTAACTTTGAGGTAAGTTCACAATTTATATCATTTTGACACTCTTCACTTTCTTCATTTGCCACAAATGTTAATTCAATAGGTTCTAGTGAGGTTGTCATAGAGTTAAGGGGAGAATATTGTGTTTTGGCAAGTATTGTGGTGGAATCGATCCTGGCAAGACATAGAAACTATTTGCCACAGGAGATGTATGATGAAGATGATGCAAGAAAACCAGAGGAAGATGTGTAATGTGACAGAGCTGAACTCTGCGGTCAGTGTCACAACTGGTTCTTGATCGGTCTGCAGTGGCGGCGTGATGTGACCGCAAGCAACAGTGACGCAGAATGTACTGCATATAAAATCATACAAACCAATAGTGTTGCTGGCAGTTTCCTGCTGCAGTCATGTTCAGAATCATATATTAAATCAGTCTATTTTGAATTCAGAAATCTGTAGTCTTCAGTTATACAGGGTGATTCATAACTTATCCAAAAAAATTTATGGATGCGGCATGTAAAATGGAGTCAATATCGTAAAAAAATCTTTAGTTTCCAAGAAAAAAAATTGTTGAAGTTGTAATACTTTCCACCATTACATCGTTAGACAACTATAGTCTCTACCGTCATTCACGTTGTGTGCTTCATGCAGCCCGTGTGAAAAGCTACGTAGCCCCAGCAACTCCGGATACTGAAATCTGATCTTAGAATTAATTAGTATTAATGTTGTTGAGATAGTGTTTACAATAGTTTTTTTGTAGTTAGTGTCAAAAATGGCTTACGTGTATAGCATCTCGGTGTTAATGGATATCATTTTAATTTATGGTGAAGCAAGACATTTGTGTTAGTTTATAGAAACTGGGTAACACAGACCCACGTTTTTACATGTCGGTAGACAAAATTTTGAACTAGTATGTCATATTATTTTTTTACTTAAAACTACAAATTAATTTTATTAATCATTAATATTGGCAAAAGCAGTTGAATTTACCGACATAAAATGGGTGTTGTAAAATTCTATTTATTTCTTTCCTTGCAAAATTCTTTCAAGTTTTTGTACGTTCATTTTTTATTACACTTTGCCGCCATGCCGGTTGCCTTGTGTAAGGTCAGTCGATCAGTTTCCAGTGCCGTACAGAAGTATATTATTAAATCATTTTGGAACTGCCCTTTTTGATTTTCTTTTACAAAATTGTATCCTGTACATCTAAAAATTTTTTTTGGATAAGTTCTGAATCAACCTGTATATGTATTTATGGGACACGCAATATATAATATTTTGCTAAAAAATAAAATAATCCAAAAAATCATGTCATTTGTTCAATTGTCTAAAAAGATCACAAAGGAATAGAGTTTTGATGTAACAAAAAATATTCTAAGTAAAAAAAATAAAAACAGCAACATATCTCTCACCCTTTATTTAAACGTAATGTACAAAAACGGATTATATGATGCCGATTTTATTAGCGACATCCAAAGCATCGTAATCCCTGGCTAATCTTACGTACGCCTTCTTCTTACCGTCTGGCCTGATTAACGTATTCACTTTCGCTACGTTAATGTCGTACAATTTCTTCACGGCGGCCCTGATATGGTGCTTGTTTGCCCTGGTGTGCACCAGGAACACCAACGTGTTGTTGTCCTCGATCTTCTTCATGGCGGCCTCAGTCGTCAATGGGTATTTGATGATGTTGTACGCGTCCATGCGGGATCTCGTCGGGACACTCTTCCTGGGGTATTTAGGATTTCTTGGTGGCCTGAGTGTCCTTGGACGGTGAAAATGGACAGACGTACGGATCTTACGCGAATGCGTGCCATTGGGGCCTTTAATAACCTTTGGAGATAAAAGCGATTAACAAAAAGTAACAACCACGAAATTCAATAATGTTTAAGGAAATGTCAGTCTTGTGTAAACGATTTTTTTCATTTATCTTTCAAAGAGATTCCCACACAGTAAATCATCATTTCCGCACTACAACTTGTGCAAAATAAAATATCAATAAGTAATAGTATTATTATTAATAAGAAGTGGTCAGTTATACGTCAAATACGAGCTTGGCGAGCTTAGTCGTAAATCAGAGACTTCCTCCAAAAAACAAGTAAACAGTGGCGCTTACAAAGGTAAAATGTAGTACATATGTGGAATTTAAAATACAAATTGGATCTATAATAAATAGTTTGAGAAAAGAAATTTTTGTACAAACAGGGCTGGCAGACGTGAACTGATTATTCATTTCTAAACCCTTTAAAATCGTACTGCACTGGATTCCTTGACATTTCAAGATAATAAAACGAATACGATTCGAAATAACAAAAACAAGTATAAATAGAATAACGTACCTTTTTCTGGATTTTTAAAGCTTTAGCAACAGGCGCACCGGGAGCAGCGACGGCTGGCTTTTTGCCAACACCCTTTTGCTGTTTGACGGGAACGTTTTTTTTCGGCTTGGCAACGAGGGCCTTTGGCGGAGCCTTAACTTTACTCGCAGGAGCTTTTCCAGCGGCTGGTTTTTTAGCAGCTCCCTTTGCAGCGGGTTTGGCGGCGCCTTTACTTGCTGCTCCCTTGACAGACGGTTTAGCAGCTGTTGTGGCCTTTGTTTTAGGAGCTGCAGCGGGGGTTTTGCTGGAAGCTGCTTTCGCTGCGGCTGGTTTGGGTGCTGGAGTTTTTGACGTTGCCTTCTTTTCTGCAGGCTTACTTGCGGCTTTTGGAGCTGGGGCAGCTTTCGACGAAGAACTTGACGCACCAGCGGCAGCAGCACCGCTAGCTGGAGCGGTTGCTGGCTTCTTTTTTTCTTCCTTCTTAGGAGCTAAAAGAAGAACACTTAAGTATATCTATGTGACACCTAACCTTAAAAAAAACAATACATAAACAAGATCAGTGTTGTGTTAAACTGAGTTTTCATATCAATTCAAAGAGATTCCCACATGTTTATCATCATTTGTAAGTGAGAATGACAATTATCAACTTTTTACTATATTTACCATGTGGATAGTACCGCGTGGCTTTTTATATATTTTTTTTGAGAAATGGGTAGTTAAGAGACAAAAATGTTATTGCAACAACTAAGATAAATATGAAGTTTTGAACTGTTTCAAGTTAACTAACAATTAATTATGGAATAGAGTATAATTACCGGATTTATCCGCTGACTTTGGCTTCGTAGGTGCCATTTTACATGAAAGAAACACAGTAAAAGGAAGTTAACCTACAAGTTTTGACTAACAATGCTGTCACGACTAGGGCAGTCATTACGCGCTAAATTTGAATTATAAATAGTAAAACTTGTGAGCACCTTTTAAATATTTCTTTTCATTTTATAGATTGAATCACCCCACAGAATATTATATTTACAATAATGATCATCATGTTTATGATTTTTTGGAGAATTATGTATATATTCTGGTGGCGTTGTTGGAATAATCTTGATAGTTCGACAATACAAACAAATGTTTGAAACTTTTCAACATGCCACAAGTACAAGGAAGTAATATTTTAAAAATGTTAAAAGACGAAGCACCAGAGGACAGACGTATTAACTCATTTCCAGAGCCATACAGACTAGAATATACTCCCTATCACACAATCAATTTTAGTGAAAGGGCTTACAAGAAATGTTTAGAAGAAAAAATAAATTGGCTAAAGTTGTCTAAAGTAATAGTTATCGGAGACGTATCGGTTGGGAAAACTTCAATAGTAAACAGGTAAGTTCAATAATATTTTAATATTTTGCGTTATTATATACAATTTATTAATTAAAGTTTCTAATATAAAAATCAATACTTTTTAGAATTTATGCAACCCTATTTACTACATGTTGAATATACGGTTGTAGCTGTCAAGGGATATATGAGCAATTTAGATTAATTTTATAAATATAATTTAGTAACATTTTTCAGGTTTTGTAAAAAAATATTTGATTCTAATTACAAATCAACTATTGGTGTGGATTTCGAAGTAGAGCGATTCGATATACTACGCGTGCCATATAATTTACAAATGTAAGAATAATATTCATTGCTATATTTGTACAAATTTAATAAATAAGAACTTTTAGATGGGATACGGCTGGACAAGAGAGATTTAAGTCAATTGCTCAGTCTTATTACAGAGGAACACAAGGTAGATATAGAAAAATATGTAAATGAAGTTTAGTAAAACTTGATAATTCTGTTTCAGCAATAATTGTAGTATTTGATTATACAAATGTAGAGTCTTTATATCATTGTAAAAATTGGTTAAGTGAAGCTTTGACTGCGTCATCTTCGCTATGCCCTTTTATATTTTTGGTGGGAACAAAACTGGACTTAATGGTAACATTAAAATGAGTTTCCATAAAACATAAAATTATAACTCTTGATCTATGTGCCACTGCAATGTTTTATGGGGAAATCAGTTTTCATGGTAAAGGTATATTAATTTCATTAGTTTATTTCTAGAAAAAATATGCATTGAAAAATATGGAAGTAAGTGTAAAGAAAGTTGCAAAACGGATAAATGCCGAGTACTGGTCAGTCTCCTCAAAAACTGGGAAAAACGTTAATAATCTCTTCTTCAGAATTGCGGCGTTGTGTTTTGAGGAATCCATAAAAAGAGAGTTAGAACTAAAGGAAAAAGAAGTTTTAATTGGAACGAAATTAACATGTATGTTGATCTAAGCAATGTTTCTCTATAAATAATCTCATTCCATTTTAGCTTCTAACAAAAATGACCAACGAGAGTTTAAAAGCAAGTGTGAAGGTTTAAAATGTGTTAAATAAAATTTTATCCGTCTGGTTAATGTGAATTTATATTGTGTTAAAAATTTTATATCATTTAGAAAATACATACAATCAGTGACTATAACAAGAATGTTGAATCTTGTTATAGTCACTGATACAATTTACTCGTGCAATTTATTTGAACCATCCGCCTCAGTTGTAGGCAACCAAACATACAAACATGGTTAACGGATAACCTAAAAATCTAGATTCGACCCCTGCACGTTATGTTAATAACAATACTACTCTGTTACGATATAACTAGAATTTTTAAGGCAACATATAACAAAGAACAAACCGCGTTTCGGGTTCACATTAGCAAGTCCATTGGACTGCAAGTGGCATACTAGTTTGACTTAAAAATTTGCATCTGCTTTTTTTATTAGATTTAGTTGAAGTGATTCTGTTTAAGTGTTAAAGGATAATCTGTTCGACAATATCGGTGTATTGAGAAAATTACATTAAAAGGTAAGTTTTGGAAATGTTGACGTGTAAGAATTGGTAGGGATTAAAATGAAATTTGAAACATGGCGCGTAAATGGAGTCTCTAAAATTATGTAAGTTTATTAACGTTTTATTAAACAAAGACGTGGAATAATTCTGAAGATGATTCTATTCCAATTTTGTGACGGCACAGCAGTAGTTGCATTAACGAAATTAATAATTACTTATATATCTGATTATAATTTAAGCATGAAAGGCTTAGGATTTAAGGTATAGGATTCTATATTTTAGCTCAATATCTAACAATTTATATAAAAAAACTTAAATATATATTTTTTTGTATACGGAGGCATGTGAAAGATTTTATAATAGGATTATTTTAGATTTTTCTCGAGAAAACTTTTTTAGCGAAATACTCTCATAGGTACGTACTCTACAAAATTTTCAAGGAAAAATGTCCAAAATATGAGTACCCAAAAACTAAATAAAAGCATCCAAAGAGTCGTTGTTGAACCCCTGAAAACGTGATGTAATGTGTTTTTCGAGTTGCGTAGGAAATCGAAAAAAAAAACGTACATTATATAGTTATAAACGGATTGACATCATACTAAAAATACGAAAAATTCGAACCTATTCCTGAAAGTTAAATCGTCTTCATCTTAACTGTTTACTAGACAGTGCAGGTGTAATTCAATGTTGAACGGGGCTGTAGTCCACAGAGTAGTTGCTTCTTACAACATCATTAGTCAAAAGTATTTGCTAATATATCAAAACAAACATTTCGTTGAAGTTACGTGAACGGATGGACTATTACTATAAAAAAATCGAGACGTACGTGAGCATTCAGCCATTATAAAGTAAATTTTTATGATATACCTAAGTGTCAAGGTGGACTTCTAGAGCAATGTTGTGTAAGCTAGGCATGTCAGTTACAAGTCGTACGCTCCGATTGCGAAGGAAATCCCAGCCAGGTTGAAGAATAGCAGAACTACCAGTAAACGACATCATAATAATTAACAGTGTCGAAGTTAAATAAAATTAGATTGCAATTTAAGAAGAATTGCAGCCATTTATGTATACTATACAACACTTTCTACAGAACTTAGATATCTCATTTATTTTTCGAGATATCGGGTTGAAAACTTTTAAAATAAACAGCCTGTATATTTTGATGATGGAGCTTAGTAACAATTATCTTATTGTTTTTCTATTTTTCGCAAAAGTGATATAGAAATTAGAAACTTTTCTGTATCCGTTATCAAATATACAATATAAGTACATATTCGATTGAAAATTGTTAAAGCTTTTTAAAAGTTCCTTAAATGATCAATTTAGTACCTACTCAGTGACACTCAGTCTACTCTTGACCTTTGATTCTCGCTGATTACGGTGAGCATTATGTAAAATTTGTTAACGTACGTCACATTTTATCAATTACAATACAATCAAATCTGCACACAATAATAATCCAATGCCCAGGTCATTTAAATAAGAAAATTGTATGTCGAGTTCTGGGTCGAGTTAAGCGTATAGCAAATATTTTTACGTTTACGACATAACTTTTAGTTTTGACGTTCAAGTTGATTTAATGATTTAAAAAAATCGTATAGCGTCACTATTTTTAGCCTTTGTGCTTATCTGACATTAGCAGCATTAACTAAAATATTTAATGGCGTGTGCTTTTATCAAGTGAAATAATCACATAATTCTGAGATAACTAAAAGCAAAAATGCATTGTAACATCATAAATGTTTAGGCCCCACTTTTATCTTCTCTATTGTACTTACTGATAACTTACTATCAAATTTTTTTATTACTAAGACCTAGCCTTCGTTATTATCCATTTTTAAAACTATTATCAAGAGTGTTGTCTATTTCCATTACCCTATAGTGTAGTGGATTTACATTATCCGTAGGCATTTCTGATATCGTGGTCCCACGTTGGGCGCCATGTCGAGGATTTTTGGTTGTACCCAATGTCATTATCCTTTAACATGCACCCTTACGCTTGTGTCGCCTGCTAACGGAGCACTGTCTTTGTTTATGACTGTGTGGCCTCCTTAATGTGCCTGTATGGTAGCTTTAGGGGACAAAATCTGGGTGGTACGTGCTACGTGAGCTATGGGAGCGTTGAGATTGTTTTAATTTTTTGGTAGATATTTAACTCGTCAGTTTGGAATATTGGAATTGGAATTTGGAATCTGAAAATCATTTTAGTCTCGTAGCTATACCTGTGTAGAAGTTATGACTGTATTATCGGAGTAAAGCCTCTATTATGCATTACAGTTTTATGTCGTGCGATAATATGTTATCTCGGATTTTCGAAAAATAAAATAAAAATAAACTGTTATATATATACTGAATGAATAAGGACAGGTAGTGGTTATTTAAGAGAAATTTTAAAACTAATAAACTCATTAAAGAAATAATTACTAAAAATAACAATATCATTAAATTTGCCAATAACAACATTATCTTATCTGAATGGAAATGCAGTGCTTTTATAGCTACAACTGCATGTTTGTTATTAAAAGTATTACAGATGTAATAGTTCTGTAATAATTATTGTATGCTGTTATTTCTAGTATTACGTATTAACAATTTAATTTTACTTTACATAAACGATTCTGGAAACAATCTATGCAAAACTACAAATCTATAAACGCATATATGAGTACACCTTGAAATATACTGGGTGTTTTGGAAAAAATATCATAGATTTAATTAAGGTCGGATAGAATACCAAAAAAATAGGAATATTTTTTCTTATGGGTCTTTTGTTTTAGTTAAATCAAATTTTAATCATATTTTTCCGAGAAAAGCAATGCAATGCAATAACATTTTTAACCATCTGCTTTCCAGGTAACATTTTACGACATAACTTTTTTGATATTACAATTTTTATAGTATTTGTCATATATTTTAACGTTAAATTTAATTTTATACATAAGGGGTAGGTACTTGTGTTATAATCGTTGACAGTTCGCCGTTTTTCAAGAAAAAACCAATTGATTTGTCCCCAAAATCAATCACACAATCAAGCTTGTGCTCCTTAATATACAAGGTGTCCAAAAACGAATGGGTCATACTTCAGGGGTGGCTTCCTTGGACGAAAATAAACCTACTTAGATCAAATTACCTTTGCATAATTTTATGTCTTTGACAGGTTATTTTATTATTAAATCAATCAATCAACATAAATGCTCTCGGGAATTCATTTTATTTACAAAGGTGCTTCCGCACTACTCGAGGTTTGGCGAGCAAATCGCCCATCTATAAATCGACTTGCCAGATGAAATTCACGCTAATTATGGTCGAGCCAAAGCAGAACAAAGACAGCTTGATTTATGGGCGATTTGCTCACTGCATTTTTTTACCAGCGCATTTTAAATAAAATAAATAATAATTTTTTCCAATGTTTAAAACAATATTTCGTCATTGAAAAGAAAAACCAAAATTTTTCATTTGAAACGAAGCACCCTATGCATATACAGGGTGTTCGAAGTTTGACTGCCTTAATTTTAACAGACGATATAATATATTAAAATAAACAAAAAAAACTTATATGACAAGGGTCCTAAGCTCAACAATTTTTACTTGATGTACAAAAGTTCAATTAATTAATCGTTGTAATAAATTTAAAATTCGATAAAATTCATATCGAGCAATGTGACAACGGCGCGGCGGTTTATTATCATGTGGTACTAAGATGTCCAGCAACCACCAATACGCAATTCAGTTGGTATCTGGATTCGACCGTGTTGGGAGTGTTGCGTACCACTATTTCCTTTTCTTGAGGTGTTTTCCAGCGAAAATTGGATTTGAAGGTGTCGTGCATGCATCGAAAATGGTGGTGGACATTTTAAGCATATGTTATAGATTGTTTTGTACTTGTGCGTTTTGGTAAGTACCTAAATTATATTTAATACGTATGTTTATTTGGACGACGTGAATCTTTGGGTATTTTAATTCCTGTTTTAAGAGATTCATAATTACTAAAATTCGAGCTAAAATTTAAGCACAACACTATCTTCGTACTACAAAATCGAAACATTTTATTTTAATTTAAAAACTGGAAAATAATGTCTTGAAATTTACTAAATGTTTCACAATAATAGTTGTTTACATTTTTTCCGTAGTACAAGTCTGCCGCGTGTACATGTGTTCATCAGCAGGTTAAGCGCTGTTGTCACGTTGTGATGAACCTCCCCAATATTAATACTCGCTGTATTTTGAAAACTATTAATCTTACGCCCCTGTAATATACAACTTTTTTGTTCATTTATTATTACCCTGTCTCATGCTGAAGTAATGGCAGTCAAACTTCTTACATCCTATATAGTGGCGGTTTTTAATTTGCGTGTTTTGACTTCTGACACGAGTTTATACCTCTTTATGTTATTGTTAATAATTATTTCCTGTCACGCGAAATGAACACGGCATTATCTTCAGACTGTCATTAAAAAAATATCATGTAAACTATCGGACTAACTGCTTGTCTAACTATAAATTTTCTCCGGTTTGCTTACAATTACTGTAATCTATGTAATACGTACTGTGGATTCTGTG